TCTCCTGGTGCCTGCTACCTTCAAAGATGCAGTTTGGAAAAGCTTATAGGGCAGTGTTTTATTTGACATTGAAGGATGTGAAGAAAAACTTTGTTCTTGTCAGAGTTGAAGGGAGAGTGAGTTATCAATTTCCACTGACTTTTTTTTCCTTAAATTTTTAGATAAATCTCCTATTTGGAACTTGAAATTACTTTTACTCCCCATTTTTAATAAATATTAGATAGCAAAATGAAATACAATGATTAGAATCAATTATTATAAAACTAATAAAAAAAGAATAAAGAATTCTGGTGAAGAGTTTCAGAAGAATCAAAATTTTTCACCCTGCGCAAGTCCAATATATGTACATATCCCAGTTTTCAAATGCCAACTTTATATGCTAACAAACCCAAGCATTCAAACACCAACATTACATACAAACACTACCTTTATTTCAAATGCCAACACTACATACAAACACAACCCTGCATTCAATTGCAAACACTGCACACAAATACATCACTGCAATCGAAACGCAACTGTAGATACAAACACACAACTGCATTTGCTAAACAGAAATACAACCTACATTCACACACACATACTCCATACAAAGACAAGCTTACATTTAAACATTTAAACACACAAACACTACTCACAAATACAAACCTGAACGCATAGAAAAATGGTAGATCACCAGCTGGCAAAGTGTTGTGGGAGTTGTACAACAGTTAAGGCTCTGCCATTTGGCCACCCTTGCACTAGAGGGGGGCCCAAAAAAAAAGTTCCAGTGCCCACTGTACGTTAGTTCTGCCATTGTGTGAATGAACATTTGCATAACTGTTACACATTTCTGTGATGCCAAAAGTTTCCTGTGAAAAATATCCAGTTATCTTGGTATTATGATTGACACATGGTTATTATAAGAAGAACACATGCTTCAGCTCCAATGGGATTGATGAGCCATCTTATTGGAAATAGCAGCTTCAATTCACTTGAGTGAACAATACAATTTTTTCTTTTTCAACTTAATAAAAAGCCACTTGCATGCACAATTTGTAGTATTTTGTACTTAATCCCATAAATGATATGAAAGTGTGATGCCAAAAACATGGCATGCTCAGCAATTCTTCCTTACACAGTTATAAAAAGACAAAAAGTTTCCTCGGAGATATCAATCAGTTGATGACATTACAGACACTAGGGGAGGATCAGATCCAAGGATGTAATGTTTGTTTATTTTCTATTAATTTATTAGGAATAAATGTAAAAAAGTGGAGCGCAAAACAATTCAAAATAATTATGTAGATGACTCAAATACTCAAAAAAAGGGGAAGGCCACTTACATTGAGGATGGTGGTTGAGATTTTTTGATTGTGGTGATGTTCCTTTAAGCCTTATACATGATGTAATTTTATAAATTTATATCTCCTATATAAATTCCTTATTTAAAACATGTATCTAAAAATCTCTAATTGTGTTTTTCAGGTTCTCTATGGTATGTTATTTATTTTTTTCATTTTTTTTCTTATATATATTTTTTTCTATTACATCCCAAAAATGTCAGATAAAACATTGATTTTAATATAACTATTTTTTTATTGATTGGATTATATTGAAAGTGTACTTGATGTTGTGCAAATTGCATTTCTATTATAAATTGGCCCTATTTCATTATGTATATTGTTCGAGAGACTAAAGATTTAATGGACTTGGCTGGCTATGCTAATAAGGACTATTAATATGTCCAATGGAAGATAAGGGAAATCAAATAGGGGTTGCCCATAAATACCCTCAATAAAAATGGAAGGAATTGTGATCCATGTCCTGATGAAGCCACAGGCGAAATGCATAGACATGCGTAGTGACGCCATACGATGGGCGGAGCTAGAGAAGTTCGCGAGATACGATGATACGGACGCACACAGAATGGAGTTTGTTATACTGCAGAGACTGCCTGAAGATAGCAGAACAAAGCCTGGAAGCATGTAAAGATTTTGACCGATTTGAGGTCTAAGCTCTTGTGAGTAGCAACTTTCTAGTCCGCACATGCTCACCACCTATCTATCAGTAAGAGGCTGCTATACTCATCTCCTAAATTATGTGCAATCATATATATATATTATTGCACATAATATATATATATATATATATATATATATATATATATATATCCAAATGCCTGCACTCCAGTACAAAATAAATTATATGCCCGGTGCTTGTCCGCCAAAATACACAAAAATAGGAAAATGATAGCAATCCAAGGACTAAAATGTAGTAAAAATAAAACTTAGCTTTTATTTAGGTTGTAGGCTGGTAAAAATTTCAACATTTCAGTTCAGGTCCTGAGGAAATTTCAGAATCCTGAACTGAAATGTTGAAATTTTTACCAGCCTACAACCTAAAAAAAAATTAAGTTTTGTTTTTACTACATATTAGTCCTTAGATTGCTATCATTTTCCTATTTTTGTATGTGTGTGTGTGTGTATATATATATATATATATATATATATATATATATATATATATAAACAAGGGGGTGGCTGCACTCACCTGAACATGCATAAATGGGTGTGCTGCTGGGGGCAAATTATACAATACACAAGATCCAGTGCACTCACCTATCCACTAAACAGCAACTTCAATGTTGAAAGATTTTATGGGGGGCGGAGACTAACAGCAGAGACAAGCAGACGCAAGTCTAAGGAGCTCCGAGCAAAAACGGACGAAAATACACTTAAAATCGACAGATACTACCCTCAACAACAAGTAACCGAAAGCGGGAACCCCTTAAGCCCTAATGGGACGCAAACACAAGAAACAGATGCCGGATAAACCAGCCCCAGGACTCACAATAGGGGAAATGTGGCGGCAAGCATGTGGCCCGGTCCTCACAGCCGTCCGGGGTAAAGCCCCCATACAATTTGAAAATGTTAAACTAACCTTCTACGCCGACCTGTCCAGTGGAACTCTGGCGTGGCGCAGGTCACTTCGGCCTCTTACCTCCACACTCCAGCGCAACAACATACCTTATCGCTGGCGGTCCTCGCACACGCTCCTGATACAGCAAGGTGAAACGACACACCAAATCTACAGCATGCAAGATGCAGCGGCCCTTCTCCGAACCCTAGGCCTGCCACAGGATTCACTCCCCCAAGCGGGACCCTGTGCTCCCACCACCCCGAGCCACAGCTGGGATCCAGCAAAAAGTGCCCCATTCAGACCACGGAGCACCACACCGGTAACCTACGCCTCAGTTACCTCATAGATGGAGCCGAAGGGCGCACCCTCCAAGCTCCACAACACCATGACCTGCCTACACTGAACTGCCGAGAATGGGAGTACCGCGCCGGGGCGCCACCAATACCCTGCAAGGCATCGGTTGATGAAATCAACTATCAAGTCCTTGGGGACTCTACTTTCCTCTTCTCCCTTTTATCTCTCATTAAATAAGCCAGCACATGATACAGGACTCTTGCCTGGAGAACAAGTATTTATTGTACTATTTAGTTTTGATCAATATTGCCATTTTCATTCAAAATTGTATTTTTTTCCCATTTTTAAAAATCTTTTTGAATGCCTTTTTAGTGCTTTTATTATCCTTGAAATTTTTTGTTTACTATATTTATGCAGATTCTTTTTTAAACTTTAGATCTAAATGAAATAGGCGGAAATGTACTCAGCTGAGGAACATCTGTATGATTACGGAAACAGTTGTTTAACTTTCATGCAGATTGTTTAAAATATTAGAAAGTGCTAAAGGTTTTTACTTATCAGATTAATTAGTCTATGTTGGTATTATCTGCCTAAATATTCTTGGTGCAATTCTCCAATGTAGTTGTGCCAGCTTACCCTGAAGGGCAGGGGTGCCAAAAGATAGATCCCCAGATGTTTTTATCCAGGGGCGGACTGACCACAGGAGACCTGGCAGCTTCACCAGCTCTCTCTCTGCCAGGTCTCCTTCCTGTCCTGTGTGGCTGCTCTGTGTGTTGGGGAGAGGCTGAGCTAGGAACTGACATCACTTCCTGTACTCTCCTCTCACACAGAGCCCGATCAGCGAGGGGAAAGAGCAGCAACCTGGGAGACCAGAGGGAGCAGAGAGAAAGGTAGGCACTAGTCACCCCCTCCCTCACTGTGTCAATAGTCACCCCCTCCCACTGTCCTTGTGTCACCCCCACCCTCCCTCTGTCACTGTGTCACCCCTCCCTCCCTTTGTCACTGTGTCACCCCCACACTTCCTCTGTCACTAGTCACCCCCTCCCACTGTCACTGTGTCACCCCTTCCCTCCCTCTGTCACTAGTCACCCCCTCCCTCCCTCTGTCACTGTGTCACCCCTTCCCTCCCTCTGTCACTGTGTCACCCCCTCCCTCCCTCTGTCACTGTGTCACCTCTGTCACTAGTCACCCTCCTCCCTCTGTCACTGTGTCACCCCTTCCCTCCCTCTGTCACTCCCCTTCCCTCCCTCTGTCACTGTGTCACCCATCCCTCCCTTTGTCACTGTGTCACCCCCACACTTCCTCTGTCACTAGTCACCCCCTCCCTCTGTCACCGTGTCACCCCTTCCCTCCCTCTGTCACTGTGTCACCCCTTCCCTCCCTCTGTCACTAGTCACCCCCTCCCTCCCTCTGTCACTAGTTAACCCCTTCCTCCCTCTGTCACTAGTCAAACCATCCCTCCCTCACTCTGTCAGTAGTCACCCCCCCTCACTCTGTCACTGTGTCACCTCCTCCCTCACTCTGTCACTAGTAACCCCCTCCATCACTAGTAACCCCCTCCCTCACTCTGTCACTAGTCACCCCTTTCCACACTCACTCTGTCACTAGTCACCCCTTCTCTCCCTTACTCTGTCACTAGTCACCCCCTCTGTCACTAGTCACCCCATCCCTCTGTCACTAGTCACCCCCTCCCTCTAGTGAAAGAGTAATAGAGGGGGTGACTAGTGACAGAGTGAGGGAGGGGGTGACTAGTGACAGAGGGAGAGAGGGGGTGACGTGAAAGAGTGAGGGGGTGAATAGTGAGAGACAGGAAGGGGTAACTAGTGACAGAGGGAGGGAGGGGGTGACGTGACAGAGTGAGGGGGTGACTAGTGAGAGACAGGAAGGGGGTGACTAGTGACAGAGGGGGTGACTAGTGACAGAGTGAGGGATGGGGTGACTAGTGACAGTCACACCCTCCCTCAGTCACTAGTCACTGCCTCCCTCAGTCACTAGTCACCACCGCCCTCTGTCACTGTGTCACCACCCTTCCTCTGTCACTGCCCTTCCTTCGTCACCAGTCACCCCCTCTCTCACTCTGTCACCAGTCATCCCTTGACTCTGTCACTAGTCACCCCTTCCCTCCCTCACTCTGCCAATAGTCATCTATTCCCTCCCTCACTCTGCCACTAGTCACCCATTCCCTCACTCTGTCACTAGTCACCCCCTCTCCCTCCCTCTGTCACTATTCACCCCCTCCCTCATTCTGTCACTAGTCACCCGTCCTCTCTGTGTCTCCCCCTCACTCTGGCACCACTCAACCCCTCCCTCACTCTACCACTAGGTACTCCCTCACTCTGGCACCTGTCAACAGCTCCCACACTCTTCCACCTGTCACCCTCTCCCTCTCACACTGTCACCTGTCACATATGCATTCACACTGACATATACAAAAAAGCACATGTAGTCATCCAGACATGCACAAGTGCATTCACACAGACTCAAATACAAACATGCATTGATGCACAGGTCTTCACAATATACACTTCTTCACAATATACATGTCGTGTTATATGAGAGGTATATTTAACATTTATTTAATGCACATATATTTGGCCTCCAAAGGGCCTGAGATCTAATTTTGCCCAGGAGGCCCCAAAGGCTCTCAGTCAGCCCCTGACAGTATCCATGAGTTTTAGTTCCACAACACGTGGAGGTCTTCCTTTTGGGCACCCCTGCACATGTTTACCCTGTTGGGTAAACATGTGCACCTTCCCCGCTTATCTACCATCACCAATCCTGTAGGTGAAAGAAATGTTTACCTTTGTGTGTAATCTTCCAATTCCTTTTAAAAAATTCGAACGTATGTGTAACAAGCTTACACTTTCACAAACAAAATTCAGGTTATAACAGCTTTTATTCAGTTAACTGAAAAATATATCCAAGTTGTCTACCTTTGCTCATTTAACCTGAATTAATTAATTCCAGCTAGCTGTATATTGAATAGACCTCGCTGTCTAGGGGATTTTCATGTTTTGTGTTTCGGGTTAGTTGTGTCTGAATTTTCTCCTCTTATATTCTCACTTTAAATTTTAAATTATAAAAAAGCAAAGCAATTAGATTTTATAATTTGCAAAGGATGTGTCTCTTCATCAGTTCATGCATTAATACAAATTCATGAGATGCCATAATAAATCTTTAAACCAGTTTCAGATAAACAAAACTGTGATTGGCAGGCAAAACACCTTAAAATGCATCAGACCATGACAAACAGGGATGTGAGGGAATTAGCTAGGATTATCCGAAAAAATAAAAAATTGTTTCAGTTTTTTCTTTTTTCGTGTGCTCAGTTTATAAAAACAGTGATTCTTTCCGCAGCCTCTTCACAAATCCGGTGATCAAATTAGGGAAAATTATGAGAACATTATGTCCTGGAAGAAAATATACATTTTTACAGACTTGCAGACTCTTTGAAAATAATGTATTAACATTCATGTCATTTTTAACCCATTTCATTTAGAGTGTAAACTGTTTTAAGTATGGGCTTCAGGGCTGGATTTACATGTCAGATGCATGTAGGTACAACATTCTAAGGTAGGTACAACATTCTAAGGTGCCCCCTGCTCCCTAACCCTAAAATAAGGCAGATAAAGACAATGAATTTATTAAAGGGATACTATAGTGCCAGGAATAGAAAGCTGACTGGGAGACAGCCACTGGAGGCAGACTTAGTGCTGCAAGTAAACACTGCAGTTTCCCTGGAACTGCAATGTTTTACATTGCAGCATTTAGTGCCAAAGAGACACTGCAACCAATAATACTTCAATGAGCTGTAGTGGTCTGGGTGCCTATAGTGTCCCTTTAATTGGACATTGTAGGTATTGAACATCTAAAAACACATTCATATTTCACAACTGCATATGTATAAATGTGCATATTTGAACTTGCAATATACTGTGTATGATAAATTATCATTAAAATTTTATTTTAGAACTTTCAGTTCGGCAATATCTGCGAAGTGGTGCCGAACCAAGGGCACCCCAGAAACCAGGTAAATGTCAAACTATTCTTTATTAGTTTGATTCTTAATCATGGGACAACACCACAGGACTCATGTCACCATAACCACTACAGCAGGCTTTAGTGGTTATGGTGCTTGTAGTTCCTCTTTAATACATGAGAAGCAACTAACACAAAAGGTATTTCATTTAATAGGCTCCTTCTAAAAAGAGAAACAATTACATTGTATTCACACAACATGTGCCACTATTCTGGTATTGCCATCCTCTATCTTATCAGGTGCAAGTTCCAGACAGATGCAGTACATGAAAAAGATAACAGCTATCTAGAATTTATTTAATTATGTTCCAGCCACACTCTGGCTTAATCCAAAGTTAGTCACCAACTGAAACATTTTAATTAATCTTATCTATTAATTACTGTAAGAAACGGTTTTAATACAAATCCATTATATTTGCTAGCAGTAATATTTAGAAATAATTTTGTGCTCTGGAGTAAGATTTAATTTTCTCTTTCACAAAATGATTGAAAAAGAAAACCTTAGAGGTTTACTGAAATGGTGCTTCAATGTAGTTTTGGTATTAATAAAAAGGATATCAGTGCACTTGACATTTAGATGTATTTTTGGATCGCTTTCCACTTCTTAGACATTTAAAAAGAAAGGTATTTCAGTATGTCTAAATTAATTTGAGATTACATAGTCCTCCTACCTATAGCAATAATATATTAAATAATAGCTATTTAATTTATAAAAAAAATATTTTAAAAAGTCTGATTAATATGAAATATTTGTAAACTTTACTCCAACTAAATGGGTTACACATTTTGTTCAATTTGCAAACAAACTTCTTAGGGGTGATACATTTCAATTTTCAAGAAGAAAAGTTTGGTTATGCACCAAGCCTACCACCAACCTCTAGTCTAGAGTGAAGTGCTTAAAGTGATGTAATGGATAATAATCCACTTACATCTATCTTTATAGGTACAATGGCTCTACAAAATATGTAGAAAGGGAAAAAAAGGGAACAAATAGTGTATGTGAGGTATATTTGTGAGGTATAATAGTAGAGAATTTATGTTCTAACTTACATGAAAAAGAGCCTAACAGGACAGGCTCAGATCTTTCCAGCAGAAGTGTTCAGGTCGCACTCAACTCCTTTAATGTCTTGATAATAAGCTCAAAGAGAAACAAGAAAGGAAACAGCAGCTTTTAGTGAAGTATACCAAGTTAGAATATTACTTGACAATATACCAAAAATGTCTGTTCACCTTGATCAGAGCCTAAGAAAACTGGCTTTGGATATGACAGCTTCTGTACCTTCAAGGGAAGGTACTACCCTTCTTGAGAGTGGATGGATGCCTGAGACCAAAATGGACTATCAAATATATATTGTACCAAAAAAGCTTGACAAAGACCTCTTGGCAGGTCAAAACGTTGCTGTTCTTTTTTGTACCATTAAATCTGCCTGTGGCTTGAACACCCTGAGTGCCTAGAGATTTTCTTTTTGCTGCTCTATTCTACCCATGTTTAGATTTAATTATTTACAAATATTGACAAAAGTGATATATATATTGCAATAGGGTACTTCTGCATCAAATACAATTAGGTCCGTAAATATTTGGACACTGATACAAGTTTTGTTATTTTGTCTGTTTACCTAAATAAATTCAAGTTATAGTTCAAATAATGAATACAGGCTTAAAATGCAGTCTCTTTAATATATAGCCCCGAAACGTAACTTAGAGTCTGGGCATCTTAAAGGAACACTATAGAGAAAGGAATATAAATATTCTGTTCAACCTGTTTAGTTGAACAGGTAAGTGCTGCAAGTGTTGCCCTAACAGCGATTGTCTCCACTGCAAAGATCCACCTCTTTGCCTGAGATCATCAATGTTGAGCTTGATCATCAATGCTAAAAAATAAATAAATCAGAAAACAGAATTTAATTGGAGATTCTTTATCATTTTAATATTTTGGCCTAAATCTTAAAATTAATTTTGAATTCACTTTGAATTTCCATTTGAGACAGGAAAAGGTATTACTTTAGCTAACTGATTGCAAATGTACCTTACCATGTGAATTGCATATAACATGGCGGAGCTCCTTGACTGAAGCTTTTATTTAAGCTAATTCTCTGCGATTTATGGGTACTAGCTGTGGTACCTATCTGGTCTCTCACTTCAGGCCTAACTTGGACTGAATTCCTTTTTTGATTTGCATGGCTTCTCTTCCTATAGCCAACTAGCCTGAATGAGACAGGGGAAGCATCCAATTCCCTGCTCTTGTGCAGCCTCAACATTTTGCAAGTCCCATTTCTCCCCCACCTCTGGACTAGTGGGGGTTATACAGGTCTCCACTGCTGTGGTGAACCTCTTCAATTACTGGTGGATTGGCTCCTTTAGCATCATATAGGCCCTATAGCCTGTTCCTAAAATGGCATCCATCTTTGCATTGCAGTGACCATCAACAATAATAGCTTAAGGCAGGGGTTCCCAACCCAGTCCCCAAGTACCCCCTACCGGTCCAGGATTTAAGGATTACCCTGTTGTGTCTATAGTTTTTTTGTTTGTTTGTTTTTTTTAAACACCTTGGACAGAACTGGGTAATCCCTAAATCCTGGACTTTTAGGGGGTAAATGAGGACTGGGTTTGAACCACTAGCTTAGGGGATGACTACTTGTATGACCTGTGTGCCGGATTCTTGGCGCACATGGAACAGTGTTGTCAGTGAATCCAGCCAGACTGTCATAGAGCTGTGTGCACCCAGCCAGCCAGCTATGGCTCAGTTTCCAAGCAGCTTCTCCCCTCTACTGCTCATCTAGGCCACAAGTTTCTGGAGGGGACTCCCTTTCCACATGATTCACATCCCAGGGACATGCTTTGTTGACGCTTCATGTGTTCGAGGGACTTTCCTTGGCCATCAATAGGGGTGTCTGTGGGCAGCACATGGTGACTCAGAGGGCTAGAATGCCATTGCACCTCATGTTTCCTTATCTTCTTACTTAATTTTATGTTGTTTTTTTGCTATTTTACTAGCATTTTTTATGCTGTAG